TTGATGATGTCTAAAAATATTAAATGAATTTGATTATTATATATTTAATACTAATTAAGATGGAATTAACTCATAATTAAAACTTTTTTTTTTTTTTTTGGAAAATCAAGGCTTCAATTTGGGTTCCACCACCAGAGAACTCATCTTCATCTTCTTCGGTGGAAAACCCAAATCAGAATATGGGTTTCTTAAAAAACTCCAGCATAAACAAATTCCTTTCATCCTCAATGCTCCCCTCTCACATATCTACATGTAAAAATCAACAATTTTACTAGAATCACAATCTTAGAAAAACCAATTTCATCATATTTCTAGTTCTCAGCATCACTAAACCATCGAAATTGATAGTTCACACACACCAAATCAACGAATTTCCACAAGAAAAAAAAAAAAAAAGAAAAACCCTATTCTCAAATATTCACAAATCCCAGAAATCCTTAACCTACAATCCAAAACTAATCTTTATCTTTTCCTAATGGATATTTCGATTTTGCGGCAAATCGAGACCTAAAGCAAGCTATAACAATCAAGCCTTGCAATCTATCCTTGAAGGCTTCGATTGATTCCACGCAAGTTTTGTAATCCAGATCTGGGTTTGGTTGATTCTCATATGCAGACTACAGAAGCTAATCTGGGTTCTCCATTCCACACACAAAGTTCAAAAACCCAGTCTAGGTTCGATCTGGGTATGGCAATCCAGATCCTAACCAAAAAAAGAAAGAAAGAAAAAAAAAAAAGGAAAATGAGGGAGGAGAGAGAGAGATTCTAAAATCTAGAACTGAATCCAAATAAAGGTGAGATGTTTTCATTACCATGGGTACTGAGGATATTAAGAGATTGTGCCAATTCTTGTTTGGGCAATCCACAACAACCTCTCCTATATAGATAATGATACTATTCGTTGAGGAAAACCCATAAACCACAAAGTCTTTTGGCAAGGATATCGCTGTGTTAGCCAGAAAGGATGAAGAAAGAGAGGGAAAGGGATGAAGAGAGCATCGGAGAACGGAGAAAGAGAAACATGGAAGAAAGAGGGACATCGGAGAAGATGAAGAATGAGGGATAGGGTAGTTACGTAATTTCGTGAACTTTAATTTAGTAAACATGAAAAGTCATACGTGGAGGAAAATTATGCCAAATCATCTAAATATAGTCTTTTTTTTTCATGTAATTTTTAAAATTTTAAAATTGTTAATTCATGGCAAATTGACATGACATCTGGCAATTCCGTTGACGGAAGGATCAAGTTGGTAACGGAAAAATGAAGTTTAAGGATGATCTTGGTAATTTTTAAAGTTTAGAGTCAGACTTGGTCCGAAAATGAAAGTTGAGAGACCAAATTAGATATTTAACCTTTAAAATTACACGTATCTTCCAAATCACGTAAGATCAAAACTCAAAAATTTATTATCTATTATCTACCAATTTATTTTGAAAAACTTAAACAATAACTTCAATTCCGTATATCACCCAAATACTACAATTAATCATATTATTCATCTTAGTTAACCATCCAAATCAATCTAAGAAAACTTTCCTCTGCTTAATTTCTCCATAAATTGAGTGCTCTAGGACATTGATCGGACCTAGAGATGGTAATTTTTCCTGATCTCTGCGGGGCCTCACGGGGACAAGACGAAGAGAAATATTCCTCCCTGCGGGCCGGGAATGGGGAGCATTTTCCCCCCACGAATTTTCCCCACCCCTTGAGGCCCCGCGGGGATCCCCATCCCCGCAAAAATTAAAATAAATATAAATT